AACTGCCATCTCAGAACCTGACATCAAGCCATTACATATCTGGGACCCTAATCATTCCTGGTTCAGCCCGTTGGAAGACACTGTACCCACCTTCCTTAATAGAGAAGTACTTACATGTATCAAGGTCAATGTCTTACTTGTCTTTCAAAATCAAGAGCTTTAAACTTAAGAAACAGGTACAGTACTTGAGAAAGGGCATGGTATTGTCCAAGGGGAATGTTTAAGCATCTGCTCTATGCTTGGCACTGGAGACATGATGGCTACTAGGACAGACCCAGCTCCTGCCCTCCTGGAACTCAGACAGACAGATGGTTGTGGGCAATAGGGCTGTGATGGGGGAAGCACAGTCCATGGCAGGAGAGCTCCTCCCAGAGGAGCTGCCTGACGCAGCCTGGAGGAACAGGGAAGCGTTTTAGTCAGCATTTTTTAGTAGCAACAGACAGAAACTCAGCTCAACTAGATTAGTCTTTAAAAGGGAGCATTTGTTGGCTTATACAACTGAGAAAAAAATGGAATGAAGGGTAAAGCTGCAAGAAACACGGGGACAGGAACCCAGACTCATGGCCACCAAGACACTCTCCCTGTGTCTCTATCCTCTCAACTTGTTTCAGCTTGGATTCATCTCTTTCAAGTGTATGTAGTGGGGAAATGGTTATTTATTTATAAACACAGACTCCATCCTTCCAGAGCCCAGAGGTAAAATGGCAGAATCTCTAGTCCTAAGAGAAAAATCCCAGAGAAGCACTCTGATTGGCCTGACTGAAGTCACATGACACACACCCCCCAAGCTGGTGCCAATTGTGACATCTAAGGGAATGGAATACTCTGATTGGCTGGGGGGAGATGTCATATGTCCAGGTCATGTGTTCTAGGAAGGAGGTTGCCAAATACTAGGTTGAACCATATGAACTTGCCATTTTTGTAGGTTAGAAAGTGTAGAATATCAGGCCAGTCATGGTAGCTCATTTCTATAATTCTAGTACTCTGGGAGACTGAGGCAGGTGAATAGTTTGAGCTAAGGAGTTCAAGACCAGCCTGAGCAAGAGCTAGACTCCGTATCTAAAAATAGCTGGGCATTGTGGCAAGTGCCTGTGATCCCAGCTACTCAGGAGGCTGAGGCAAAAGGATCTCTTGAGCCCAAGAATTTGAGGTTGCTGTGAGCTATGACAGCATGGCACTCTACCCAGGTGAAATTGTAGAATATTGGCAATTTCATATGGTTAAACCCAAATAATCATCAGAAAAAGGAGGATAAGAGAGCATATTAAAGCAATATAAGTCCCTGGGCACTGTGCAGGAGGAGGAGGTGATATTAGCTGGGACTTAGGGGAGCAGGCAAAGACCAGGAAAGGCTTGTTGCTGTGCAATAGGGATTGAGTGTTCTATTGGATAATTCTGAGTTGTGTGTCCTATTGAATGAGGCAGTGGGAAAGGGGTTCATTCCAAAAGAAAACTGAGGAACTGTTACCAGGAGAAATAAATGCTGGCCAGGCAAAGCCAAAATATATACAGTTCAAAGCTCTTCTTTAAGGCCTTGGCTTCTTCAAGTAGAGATTTGCAACCTTATTACCTTCCATTGCAACATCCATAATTGAAAAGGCTCATATGCCTGAGCTCAGAGAAGTCCTATATGATTAAACTTTTTATGCTTAAATATTAATTGACCACTTTTCCTAGTGCTGGTCATACAGGGATGGATTTGTGGGGATACTTTTGGCTGCAAGAAACAGAGAATCCAGTTAACATGACTTGAGCATTCAAGGCATTTAATTGTGTCTGCTAACAAAAAGTCTGGAGAGGAGCCTTCCTGAGGCTTAGTGCAATGGCTCAGCACTAGTCCCTCAGCAGGGACTCAGATTTCTACTCTTTGGTGCTATCCTCCTGTAAATGATAAGTTTCATAGCC